GGGTCTGGGGGGGGCCGCTCTCCCCCCTCTCCGCGGGGGGGGGGGGGGGGAGTTCGTGTTGGGAGACACGCAGCCCACAGGAACCTATGCCCTAGGGAGTGTGGCCCTGGAACTGTGCCTGCCTGCCTGTTGGGGCTGCTCTGTGGGGCTCTGGTCCTGCAAGGCCACGGAGGCTTGACCAGCACTTCCACAGGGAAGAGTGGGCTGATACTCACCCAGGAATGCAGCCGCGCCTCCTGCTTCCCCCACCTGCAGGGCCGGGGAGTGGGTGCCCTGGCATGGCATCCGGCCAACCACCCAGGAGCGAAATGCCAGGGCTTCCTGCTACCCTCTCCCCTTCGGCGTGCGTGGTCCTTGCTCCCTCCTCCCCTCATGGCCCAGTGGCGAGGCTCACAGCCCCAGCCGGGCGGGTGCCAGTCAGAAGGGTCTGGCTTTGACATGGGATTTCACACTGGATTTGGGGGGGGGGGGGCCCCCCAGGGGAAGGAACCCTGCCTGCTGCTCCGGCTTTTGCTTTCCCGCCCGTGTTTTGCCAGCGCGTTCGTGTGGCGCGGAAGAGTCCTTCCCGCTCTTGCAAGCGCGGGCAGCCGCAGCTTTCCCAGCCCCGCGAGTCCACTGCCCGGGCCGGGAGAATCAGGTGCCGCCGCTTGTGCGCGCCTGCGGCCGGCGGGGCGCCGAAAGCCCTCCGCCTCCCAACTGGGCGCGCTCGCCGCCCCTGCCCTTCTCCGGCGACGGGCGGGGCTGCCTCGGCTCCAGCGGCGGTGACGTCACGGGCCTGCCTTCATTGGGGCCTCCGTCAGCGGCCAGCCCCGCCACGTGCAGCCTAGCCCAGCCCGACCCAGCCCAGCTCAACCATGGCCGCCGCGACCGGCTCCTTGGAGGCGGTGAAGCGCAAGATCCAAGCGCTGCAGCAGGAGGCCGACGAGGCCGAGGAGCGCGCCCAAGTCCTCCAGCGCCAGCGCGACCAGGAGCGGGAGCTGCGCGAGAAAGTGAGCCGGGCCGGAGAGGGACTCGCCCGCCTGCCTCTCTCCCCCCCTCTTTCTTGGCTGCGCCCCGCTCCCCTTCCGCCTTCTCCCGCCGGCTCCTTGGCGGGCCACGTCTGGCTGGCGGCCCCCCTTCCCGGATGGAGGGCTGCGTCCGGCGCTGCCCGCTCGACAGCCCCTTTCTCCGGCAGCCGGCGGCCTCCCTGGGCCCAAGGAGGCCGGCTGGCTCCGGCGGTCCGGCGCGCTGCTTCTCCTGGCCGGGCAGCCCTGCGGCGCCTCGCCTTCTTCCAGCGCCTCTCCTTCCCCTGCAGGTGGCCGCGCGGGGAGCAGCGGGAGCAGCGGCAGACAGAGTCCTTCCTCTTCTCTCCACTCTCCTCCTTCACTTCTCTGAAAAGCTGTCCTTCTCTTCCCACCTAATCTTAAAGGGTTGCGCGAGGGCTCCGACTAGGTAGGCCCGTGCGCCGGGGCTGCGCGCTCGAGTCATCGGCCGCCCGACGGGAAGCAGCAGGCTGCGGGGGTGGGTGGGGGAGGACGCTGTGCCTCAGGCCCGGGGAGCCTGGGCGAGGCGGGGTCGTGGGGCAGCGCCCGGCTTCACCGCTGCCCTCTGTGTGTGTGTGCGCGCAGGCTGAAGGGGAGGTGGCCTCTCTGAACCGCCGGATCCAGCTGGTGGAAGAAGAGCTGGATCGAGCCCAGGAGCGCCTGGCCACTGCGCTGCAGAAGCTGGAGGAGGCCGAGAAGGCAGCAGACGAAAGCGAGAGGTGTGTGCAGCGGCTGGCTTGGCTGCCCCCGAGGGCCGGGGGGGGGAGAAGAGGGGGGGGGTGGGGTGGGGGAAGTGCCCACGGAGCGAATGGCGGGGCGTTCCACGGGTCTCGGCTCCCTTCTGCCCTGGCGCCAGGAAATCGAGCTGAGGCCCAGGAGGGAAGGAAGTGTGTGTTGGGAGGACGGCTTGCTGTTTGTTTGGGTGTGTGTGTGTGTGTACAAATGCATGCTCCTTTTTCCTGGCCTGTGGCAGGGGCATCAAGGTGATTGAAAACAGGGCGATGAAAGATGAGGAGAAAATGGAAATCCAGGAGATGCAGCTGAAGGAGGCAAAGCACATTGCAGAGGAGGCAGACCGCAAATACGAGGAGGTAGGTCGGGGGCCTTATGGGGAAGGGGGGGAGAGACTGTACCCTTTGTTTCCACCCGTGATCTCTTGAGTAACCTTCTGGCTGCCCGTACAGGAGGGAGAGAGGGATGCTTAGCATTGGTTCCAAAGGCTGTGCAAGTTCTAGCTTATGAGTGTCAAACTGAAGGCCTGGGGGCCAGGACCAATGTTCCCTCTAAGCTGTGGAGTCTTGTGAGCAAAAATCTTACTTTGTGAGCAACTGTCATTAAAGTTGTGAGCCAGCAATTTGACTACTGCGTAAATTAGCTTGCTCTGGGGCCATCCATCCTGAGCTAGGACAAAAATGTGTGAGCCGGAGACTAAAAAACTGTGAGCTAGCTCACACTAACTCAGCTTAGAGGGAACACTGGCCAGGACCCTCCCTTCCAGGGCTCTTAGGTGGCCCACAACCAACTAGTGCAAGGGAGGGAACAGGAGACTTTATACAGTGTATATCTCTGGTACCTGGCCTTATGTTTTATGGCGCACATGACCCGGCTCGACAAAGTGACATTTATGTAATATTCGGCTCTCCTAACAAAATAGTTTGACACCTCTGTTCTAGTTGATGTCCTTTCATTTGGGGTTGGTAATTTTGAAAATAACAAATCCCTTGTTTCTTTTTTCTGCACTCAGGATCTCGTATCTCCTTTGCTTGAGCTAGGTTTCTTCCTCATTCCCACCTACCACTACTCAAGGATTCCTCTTGTGGTGGTGTAGTCTTGTCCCATTTTGTAAACGTCTTCTCCCCAATGCTCTTTAACATCTACAGGTGCCTTCTCGTCCAGCTAGTCAGGTTTGGGCTAGAGTGCCATCAACGCTCATGACACCCAGCTATACCTGTTAATGGACAGCCGGCCAGATATCTCCCCAGAAGATCTGGCCAATTGTTTGGGAGTCGTGGTGGGATGGTTAGAACAGAGCCCCCTGAAGTTGAACCCATTGAAGACAGAGGTCCTGTGGCTGGGCTGGGGGGGGGGGGCAGGAGCAGGATTTCAGCTTCCCACTCTGGATGGGGTACAGCTGGTGCCAGTGTCAGGAGTTTGGGTGTGACCCTTGATACCTGTCTTATCTTAGAGGCATAGGTCACAAATACAGCCAGGATGGCATTTTTCCATCTTTGCCAAGCCTGGCAGTTGGTAGGGACCTGTCCCGCCCCGATCTACCTACAGTTATCTGTGCAATGGTCATCTCTAGACTAGATTACTGTAACTTCCTCTACGCAGGGCTGCCCTTGAACTTGCTCCGAAAACTTCACCTGGTCCAGAATGCGGCTGCGTGGGTCGTTATGGGAATCCCCTTGAGAGCGCACATACAACCCATGCTCTATCAGCTGCGCTGGCTCCAGATTGAATACCAAATCAAGTTTATGGTTCTGGCACTTACTTCAAAACCCTAAACGGTCTGGGACCATTATATCTACGGGACCGCCTCTTCCTGTATGCCCCCCAGAGAGCGTTTCGCTCAGCCAGTACCAAATTGCTGGTAGTCCTTGGTCCCATATTGGTCGGCTGCCCTCGACCTGTGCTTGGTGGAACTCTCTTCCTAGTGAGATCTGGGCCCTGCGGGACTTGGCTCAGTTCCACAGGGCCTGTAAGACTGAGATGATCTACCTGGCATATCGTTGAGGGCAGCGGCAGATAGAGAGATCAGTGACCTCCCGGGTTCCCCCCCCCCTTCTATTCTCCACTCACTCCTGGTTAAGATCTTCCCCAGGAGTGGAATATAGATTATATGCCAGCCACCCCAGCTATCTGCGGGATGGATGGATGCCGCCATCAGACGGTACATCTAATTGCTGAATGGTGCTGAAGTTTAATTGTATTGTATGCATTTTGTATTGTATGTATTTTACTATGTACGGATGTATATGTTGTACACTGCCCTGAGCCCTGCTTGTGGGGAATGGAGCAGGATAGAAATTAAATCAATCAATCATCATCATCACCACTTGAGCCTTAATGAAAAAGCCCCAGCTGCACCTCATGCTGCCTTTTTCTTGGGACGTGCACAAGCCGCACTGAGGCAAGGGTTGGGCACCAGGGGAGTGACAGTCTTTTGCTCTCCATGCAGGTTGCCCGTAAACTGGTCATTCTGGAGGGAGAACTGGAAAGGGCTGAAGAACGAGCGGAAGTGTCTGAAGCGTGAGTGCTCCTGGAACACCTGACAAAGGACTGGGCAGCTGCTTTGGGTCCTCTTTGGCCTGCCCTGAGCACAGTTCCTAGGAAGTTGGGCTGGGTGGGGCTTGGACATCTCTACCTGCAGCTGGTCTTTTTTGGTCAGGTAGTGTCAGGAGCTGGGTGAAAAATTCCAGTGCCACTGCAGAAGTCTCTCTGGGCCTCCTGCATACCTCACATGGCTATAGAACTGGTTCCTGTCGAGCTGGCCCAGTGAGGGCTCTCATCTTAGGTGTCTGTTGTGGTGCTCCAAGCACCACCTCACTTGGCTTGATTCAGAATGGCTACCTATAGCGCGTCAGGTTAAGGCAGAGGGAAGGCTGTCGATGGCCAAAGGTAGAGTCTGGAATGTTTGCTGGCTGAGTTACCTAGTGGGAGCAGCAAAGGCCTCTGCCGTCGGGTCATCTGTGTGAAATAACGACACTGTCTTGAAGGATGAAGTGTGACTCTAACTTCTGTCCCTGAGCAGGAAATGCAGTGACCTGGAAGAGGAGCTGAAAAACGTCACCAATAATCTGAAGTCTCTTGAAGCTCAGTCGGAGAAGGTTAGTAGCTGTTGTCTATAAAGTGATGACGGAGATTTTGCCAGCCTGACCTTTGTGTCTTACCCCAAAGCTTTGTTAAGTGCCACCATGGGTCAGATAACTTCATCTCATTTGGTTTTGGTGTGGTTCCAGTGCCATCTCCCTGACAGTGGGTCAGAGGAAACAGGGAGGAGCGTGTTTGTGGCTTCAGAGCCCCACAGGGTTTCCTTGGGCAGCTGCTAACTGATGTGAAATAAATGAGAGGAGAAGGGTGGAAACCATTTGCGAGAAAAGGAGGGTATGTGAAGTAAGAGAATAAATAAGTAGGGCATTTGTCCTTCTTTTCCGTTCACACGGACACATGAAGAAAGATTCTGCCCTGCCTTAAACCAAGAGTTCAGATGATGAGATTTTAAATCTCATTATTATAAACCAGAAAATGAGATGTTAGGTGCTCATAATCTTACATAAGCAAGGAGGAAGAGCAGGCACAAGCATGCTGCCTAGGTCTTCGAGGTCCCAGCATGCTGAGGAAGTGTCCACACATATCCTCCTTGCTATTGTGTGGAGAGAGTTTATATGCAGACACTTCCGGTGTGTGTTCCCATCATGCAAATGGATGGTGCGGTGAGTTCTCCTTCCCTGCTGGGTGAGTCAACATGCAGATGGATTGTGTATCCATCTCCTCTCCTGTACAATGTGGGAAGATTCAAGCCTTGAGTTTGAAACCAGAAGCTTTGAGACGAGGCACTAGAAAGGCAGGATTCCAGGCCCACTGGAGTTTGCAGGAGGTATTTAAAGGTTCACTTGCTGGCTTTTGATTTCACGTCTTCTTTCCATCTCTCTTCACAGTACTCCGAAAAAGAGGACAAATATGAGGAGGAAATCAAGCTTCTCACTGACAAACTGAAGGAGGTGAGGTGGTTCGGGTGTGCCTGGTGCTCATTTTAGGGATTTTGTCTGATCAGCAGTAAAAGTTTCCCCTTTGTTTTGATGCTTGTTTTAGGCTGAAACCCGGGCCGAGTTTGCGGAAAGAACTGTTGCGAAACTGGAAAAGTCGATTGATGATCTAGAAGGTACGTGGAATGGAAGGAGGTCTTTGAACACAAGCTATCAAATGTCAGATTTTTGGCTAGAAAAAGAAGTAGCCATGGAAGCTCCTGTAGGACAGTAAATTGAGGCCAATATATTTAGCAGTTATTTTGTTCCAGAACCGTTTTGTCGTCTGCCATAAAGAAATGTGACAGGGATTTTGCTGCTTGTATTGAGAGTTGTCTGGAAGTGAAGCTGCAGAAAATTCCTTGTTTTCCTCCCTCCTGAAGTCCAGCAGTGGCCTTAAGCTACAATATCTTAACTGGCTCTCTTCCCTGCTCTTCTGAAATATGGGGCTTAGAATCTATACACCTACAGGGTGGTTGTAGAGATTATTGTACAAATGTAAGTGAAGTTTTCAGAACAGTTTATAAAACCTTTGTGCAATCTGGGCAGATTTTTGAAATGAGTGGTGGTATTTAATACCCCTTTTCTCTCTTTCCTGTCCCCTGTCTCTTCTCTCACTCCGTGGCATCTTTATTCTTTGCCCTGCTCCTGTCACTGCATGTCCTGTTCTTCTCTGGGTTCCAGATGAGCTGTATGCTCAGAAGCTGAAGTACAAAGCTATCAGCGAGGAGCTGGACCACGCTCTCAATGATATGACGTCCTTGTAGAGAGGCAGTGGGGGCTTCTCCTGGCTGTTCTGTCCTGCAAGAATTCAGCGCTTTCTTTTTCTTTGTGTGCTTCTTAAGTTGTCTGAATTTCTCCTCTTCCTTTTAAAAACTGGCATACATTAAAAAAATACTTTTCTTCTTGGATTCCTTTCTGCTTTTTGCCACTTTTACTTTGTGTGATGAGTAGGAAAAGATCCCCCTTGCTTGTACACCAGAAAATGAGATTTTAGCAAATGTTCATCAGTTGGGGAGATATGACTTGACGGATGCGAGGGTTCTTGAAGTTGACTCCATTTTTTTTTTTACTTAGCTGCTTCTGCAGCTAAGCAAAGACCACTTTTGGGAATGGGGATGAGAGCCCATTTCCAAATTACAGATTTGGCACACCAGACTGACTTTTTCAGTACAAACATGGCACAGGGATGTCTTGTCCCCCCATCTGTTTCTTCTAAGAGTGTGTTACTTTCCCACTGATTCCAGTGGAAAATCTTACAAAGTGCAAATAAGAAATCAAATACTTCCCAATTTGTCATCCCCATCCCCCCCATCAGAGCTTTGGGCACAAATTCAATGTGGCATTAGAAGAAATATCTCCTCAGAAGAGTGATCCACATCAAGGAATTAAGGAGAACAGCTGCACTTAGAAAATGTGGGGGATAGGGTGATAAGTGGCTGGAATTGGGATGAGGAATGTGCTAGGTCATAAGTGGGTACTGTTGTTCTGAACGATTTATCTCATTGATTTTCACCAGAAAAAGTTGCCCAAGCAAAAGAAGAGAACTTGAGCTTGCATCGAACGTTGGATCAAACCTTAAGTGAACTTGGCAGCATATAAATGGGTTGGAAAGTGTCCTGACTTCTGACAGTATGAAAAGACATGCTTGGAATGGTTGCTTCCTCTTTAATCCAGCCTCTTTCTCCTTAAATCATGCAAAGAGCAAATAAGGGACCAAATATTTCTTTTTTTGTGTCTCCCCCCCCCCCCCCAAAAAAAGCGTTCTGGCTCTGGGCACAAATTTAATGATGCTTCTTCCTATATATCATATAGTACAGCTTGTTTTGAAAACGAGAAAGGTGTGTGTGTGTATATATACACACATATATACATATACGTGTGCATGTATATATGTGTTTGCATACCCACACACACATATAAAAGGTATTCTGTAGATGCTAGATTAAGTTGGGGGGGGCTTGTGGTATTTAGGGCACAATTCTGTACTGAATGGAAGATTTTTTTGAAGCTTCCTGTGATCATTTACAGTATAATATATACATGTGATGCTCTGGGTTCCCTCGTTTCTTGTCCTCTCTAGAAACAACTGGTGAAGGGATGTATTATCTACTTTGTAGCCAGCCTTGTTAAAAAGTGTTTTTTGTGGTAGGGGATGCAACAGGAATTCGGATACTTGTGTTTTATTATGCCTTCAAACTGGATGGTCTACTTCCCTGTATACAGAAATGTGCCAAAGTTCATGTCCTGAAAGATTTGACAAATGAACCAAATCATGCCTTCTCCAGTTTGCCAATTTCTTTCAGTCATCTTGTCGTCTGATGGGAAATAGCTTTTTTATTAACCCGTATTTATTAAATTTTTGCAAAGCAGTGGAAATGGTGGACAAAATGAAATTAGCCCTATTGAATGTATTTGGTACCCTGGCTGTAGCTTCTTTACTTTTGGTCTAATAAACGTTTTTTATAGACATTCTAGTCCACAGTGTGGGAAATGCTTCTCTGACTGGCTTTGATATGAAAATTGTAGTACAGGCAGAATGAGGTAGATATTCATGCACTGCTGCAGAGGGGAGGGAAGAGAAGAAGTGGGCTGAACTGTTTGTGAATTATGGGGCTATGCAGGACTTCAAAGGTATCAGTTACCCTAGGAGTTCGTATCCAAGGTGGAAAAATGGATTGTGGGGTTTTTTTTGGTCAGTCTTGCCTCTCTGGAGAGACAGCCCCCCCCCCACTATGTTTTTCCTGGGGAGGGGGAGGTAGCTAGTCATATTCAAGGGTATGCCAGGTAGGGCTTAAAAGCTGGGCAGGTTGACCAAGGAGCTCTTTAGCTTCCATAAAATCTCAAGTGAAGTCTCAGCTTCTCATGCCATGGAAGAAGGAAGTTGCTTGAAGGGTGGGAGGGGATAGCGACAGCTTAAAGCAGTTGTTGTGCTTCCTGGTACCTAGTGGTTTGGTGCTTTACTCAGAAATAGTGGCCTGAACTGCAGGTAGATGGGGGCAGATGGCTCTGTGGTGTGACTCAACTTTTTGTATTGGACCAGGGGTGTAAATGTAATCATCAGCGTTGGTGCTAGGATTCAGGTGAACATGGGTGCTATTCTGATGTCTAGCGCATTATGCACGTGTAACCATAAGCAGACAAAGGCTGGAGTCTTTTCTGTTTAACTGGCAATCCTGCATAAAATTGTGGGTAGCATGGGGGTAGTTCTTGCCATTATGGCATTGTCAAGCAATCTATCCGCTAGGTGCCCTTTTTGGTCTACAAAGGCCACAGCTGTTCTTAAATGGGGCCATACTCTATGGGCATCGGGACCACTCTCTTTGGCCTCTGACCTCCAGGATGAAGAGAGGAAGACCGGGTTCCAGGAAGCTCAGTATTATGCTTGGTTCACCTTAACTCAGGCCCCCAGATGTGTTTGCTGCACTAATGTTGCTGTGTATATGCAGAAAGTTATTTTCAAACATTTAAAAACATACTAGCATTTTCTACATTAGTAGGCACTGAGTTAGAAAACTCATGGTCTGTCTCCACTTTGGGGATGTTTCTGGATAGGTGGGGAAGGAGGTGGCCGCTGCACAACCGTTGTGAAGACAATTGAGTCAAAAACAATTATGAAAGCCTGCCTTCAGAGAGCAGGATGGCCAGTGGAGGGACTCCTCCAGGTGCCTGCAAGGGAGAGTTGTGTTCCTTGGAAGCCTGTCTTCTACCTGCTGGGTGTCACTCCATCACCTACGGTTGCTTTCTAGTGTCGTCACAAGTTTTTTTTTCACAAATGCCAAGGCCCGCAGGAGCTCTGTTTGTGCCCAGTCTGGTGTGTTCTGTCGCTCAGGCGCCATTGGGCCTCCCCTGCTTCATCCTGAAACGAGTAGGGCTGCTGCAGCCTTGGTCTGTTCCCTTCAGGTTTTCAGGCGGGGGGGGGGGGGGTCCCTTAGAGACCGCCTCCTGCTCAGTTTTCTTCCTTCCTTTACTTGTACCCCAAACTCTCCCTGCCGGCGGGGAGCCAAAGGGCCCGACATGCTTCCTCTCCTCTGGTTCCTCTTCCGCTGGAGTTTACCTGGCCGAGTTTACCTGGCCGGCCGTCAACCAATGGGCTTTTCGGGGCCCGCGCTTCCTGCTCGGCAGCAGGGGCGGGCGGGAGGCGTCGTCGCGGGGCGTCGTCGTCCAATCAGCGCGCCGCGCCGCGGGGATGGACAGCTCCGCGGGCCCGCGGGGTGGGCGGCGGCGGCGGCGACGACGGGAAACATGGCGAAGACCTACGACTACCTCTTCAAGTTGCTGCTGATCGGCGACTCGGGCGTTGGCAAGACGTGCGCGCTC